TGATCAGTTTTGAAAAAATATCGCACATATTTTAAATAGATAAAACCCTTCGTAAGGTGTGGGCTACCAGGTATTCCCTCAAATAATAAGACTTGGGGTTCTCCTACAAAGATTAAGCAACTTCCAACCTTGCGGTGGGGGAGGACACATTTTCTTTATTAAGACTATTGGATGCACAGGGCGATACACTGTTTATAAAAAAAAACAACATAACAGGACATTTACTGAAACACTTGTATCCACTGAAATAACGTTTGCAGTTATGAGAAATATAAAGAACTATTATCGATAAAACAATTCAAATATATATACTTCTTTTTATTTCCATATTTTTCTTTTATTCATCTTTCGATGTTCATTCTGTTTTCTTTTCATTTTTGTTCAATCAGTTCACACAAAGCAAGGCAATAATGTCACTAAGCTGCAAGAAGCTACTGGGAGCGAAACAGAAGGAACCGGAAACCCCAAACTGGAAATTAGGCGTACCTATTTACTCCTATTAATATTCCTTATATGTTCAAATCGATCTTTAGTTTTTTCTTTACCTTAACTACAATTATTTTATTTAAAGAAAAAGAAGAATGATTGGAGTTTGTAAAAAAAAAAATCTTTATAATAAATGCGAACGTCAGTGTGTCACACTTTTTTCTACTTTACTCCTAGAGGCCATAGCCCAACATATCAAACCATTTTGGAACCAGGCCGTTTGTACGGAAAGTAATGATCTACGTATATCAAATTGTCTTTAAATTAAGTGGCGGCAGAAAAATTATCGCTGAACTTTTAAAAGGTAAGCTTAAATATTAATATAACACTTAAATACAGCGAACAAATTTGAGTTCGTCTCTAGTTTATTGCTGCCTATCGCATTTACTTCTCCCCACCTTTGTGTTGAAGGCCCAATCAATAGCCCTCCACAGGAGCTAGCTTAAATGCCGCCCGATAAAGCGGATTTTAAGCTAGTATTGTCAATATATCTTGATAACAATATATTATTTCTTTAGGATTTAATTTGTATCTTTCTTTTTCTACGCGTTTCTGACATTTGTTGTTTCCGTTTTTATAACATCTTTTTTCTCTTTTTTTTTTTTCTCTTCCAAATTGCCCATTCTTCTTCGGCAGGAGATTAATAGATAGCGGCCCCGACTGAAGAATCGGTGGACTGATTTCTAATTTCAGTTAAGTTTATTACATTTACTGATTTGTTCATAGCCTTTGGAAAGGGAGGAATCCTCCTCTCCTCTCGGTCATTTGTGTGCCATGCGTGATACACGTTTAGGCGATCATGTATCTTTCGATACATGACTGACGAGGCAGATTTTTCCCGCATTAGGTTGCCATTTCTTTCTGCGGTAGACTAGTTTCCATCTAAGGCTATAGAACCCGGTCTGTCCTGCCATTTACCCATAGCTGGAGGAGAAAAAAAGGGTATTAGAACGTAAGTGAATGTAATGGATTCGACTGGAAATCGAACTCGGCCATCCGATTCCTCAATCCGAGTCATTATCCATTACTCCACCGTCCCTCCTTCTCTCTTTCTAATGAAGTGCCTTGTAGCCTTGTTGAAGAAAGCTCCTAATTCCTGAATTCGAAGCTAGCCTGGATATCTTTCCCAAGAGACACAACTGCGTCAGTACGTGGTGACCATATGACCATAATAGCGTTACGGATTTCAAAAAAGTATGCTAGTCTTAGTCGTTTTTTGCTTCTTTTTTTCCCCCTTCTTCTTCGTTTGGTTTGTTTGTCCACTAATATCATTCTTTTGTCCTTTCTTTTCCTTTTCCATTATTTTTTTTTCAATCTTGACTTTAACATCCCTCCATTTCTTTTTTCTTTTTACTCTATTTTTACCAAATTCCAAACATCTTTCGTCTTTCTTCTTATAAATATTGTAGAATTTGTCGATGTTTTTTATCCATTGAATATTTATGAAAAGTCCTCTTTTATTTATACTTCGTCAGTGTAATACATTTTAAGTCTTCATTCAAAATGGCATTTTTCATCCTTTAAATAAACAGAATTAGTAGATAAATAAATAAGTATATCCCGCAGGTGACAAGTGTTAATTTTGGGGCTCAATACAAAAAAAAAAAAAAGCCACAATGTCGATCTCCAAGGCAAGCAAAAATCACCCGACTTGTTCACATTTTATTTGATGTCCTACTATAGAAAGAATGTAGCCTGACTTGTGGTTGTGATGTATATTGATTCCAATTTTGCTTTCAGGTCAACTTTAAATATAATAAAATATGTTTAATGAGATAGGAACTGACATAAAATCTTAAAGTTCAAGATTTTATCCCAATCTAAGGAAAGGCAATTAAAATTCCTATCTAAAAAGCATTTAAAATTCTTCATTTGCGAATATTCTGCTATTTGAATGATAAACTCAGAAGCGTTTGCGATTTTATTAGAAAAATTGTGTAAAACATAAAAATGAATTCAAATTAGATATTTAAATAATTATATTGTCACCATTTTCTGTGAAAAAAATACAGGTCTTATTTGAAAATGTTTTATCGAGATTTCTTTCAGGCTATAAAAATATGAGAAACTTCAGATTTTAATTTGACTGCTTTTTAAACTTCTACTAGAACGTGAAGGGAGATCAATGAATTCCTACTTTCTGTCATTTATTATTGACTCACTAAGCTCATTATGTGAAAATACTAAATTAGTCATGCGATTTGGATTCAGAGTATTGTCCCAATCATTATTGTTGTTATCACAACGTATCAGCCATTATGCTCCCAGGGCTTCATCGTATGTATATTAATCCTGGTAGCCTACAGGAAATTCTGAACTGAACTCTTTATTAAATCTACGAGGGTAGACTGTTTTCGTTCCGCGCCAAGGGATATTTCGTCTAGTTCTTATTTTTAGTACTGCTCAGTTATTGTTTCACTGAGTTCAAGTACACACTGCCCTAGCCAGGGATTGATCTCACAAATTCATTAACGAAAGCTGTAGTCCACTAGGACAATTCGATGCGGGGAACTTGGGGCCATAAATCTAACCTGCCTGCTGGTTACTACTTCTGCTGCAACAGTTGAAGACTTGCTGTCATTTGTCTTCCTTACTTTATTAGCAGTGGTCATTCTTCTTTATGTGCCGTGTCACTTCAGAACGTAGACGATCATAGCTCTCCACAACTTCCTGTCTCTGTTCTACTATCCATTAGTTCAAGACCATCATGTAATATATTATGCGCTGTTTTCTTCTGTCCCATCAATGTGATTATCGGATTTTCCAAGCCACCCTTTCTCATGATGTGTCCCGGAAATTTCGGCCATTTCTTCCTGCTGTTAAGTATAAGTTTCCTTTTATCCAAGCTCTCTTTCCTCGCTTTTTTCCTAGAGACTCCAACAATCTCTTCATTATGTCAAGTATATGTCCTTTCTTTTCTTATTTTCCTCTAAAACTTCGTCGTTGCTCTCATATTCAGTCCATGCTATCCTCAGTATCCTTCTCTAGAACCACATCCCTCTTAATTGAGGTCTCTTTTTTTATCTTTGAGTAGATTTTCCAGCATCTAATGTCATATAAGATCTTTGCATCTTTGGCTATCTCCATTCGTCTTCGGATTTCATTGTCGCACATTCCATCTTCAGTTAGAACAATTCTCATGAGCAGTGCAGCCCCCATATTCTATATATTTATACACTGTGCCTACTAAGGAGATCCTCATAGCCTAGCATATGCGCTGATTCGTTCAGATATCTAATTCTCCAGTGTTCTTCCTTGTCAAGCATTTTCACATTACTACCCACCTTTTCCCACCATGCCCCATTTCATTCTCACCCCTCAATATTGGCTTTTCGATGATCCTCCAACTATGAGGAATATCAAGAACTCATAGATTTAGTAATTCTTATCAGTGAGTAACTCAAATCTTCTTGGTTGGCTTTTAAACTCTGAAATAACAAAATATATAACTGAGATGATGTATTATGTACACTATTTACATTATTCCGACTATTGTCATCATCTTTGTCGCCATATTTATTACACCGTTTCGGCCGTTGTACGCTCCGGCTTTCTTTAGGTGGTCGGAATGTGGAACTGAAACCTTTATTTCGCAAACTGGGGTAGACTGTTCTTGTTCCATATGCCATGTCTAATGAATGTCATTTATCAGTTATCTCCTGTTAATTTCCCTCTTTATTTCCTTTATACACCTGCACACCCGTTTAGTTTATATAAAAAAAAAGACTACGTTTGTTTATTATATTTGGAATATACATTGTAAGGATTACCGGCTCGAAACGAGAAATGAATCCGTCTATATCAGAATTTCGATCAAATTCGTTACGTTCTCTTGTGCACATATATCCTTCGGAAAAAAAATGAACACGTTTCTTCCCCCACACCAGGTTCGGTTTAAATAGCAGAGTTGACTGGACACTCTAGCCTTGCTCTAAGAGAGTGATGGCTATGAATTCCAAACCGTATATAGCCAGGTCGAAGGTTATACTCTACAGCACGGAAAAAAAAGATTATGGATATCATAATGAATCTTTGGTCTTAAATGGGGGTCGATTAGGCAAAATTAACAAAAGAAAAAAAACACCCCATCAGTGTTGCTCTTATCACCAAAATAATTTAGGTGCCTTCTTCAAGTCTCTAGAGTAGTGAAATCATTTTCATTACGAATATTCTGAAAGGAACAAAATAGGTTTTTACCTCCAAAGCGGTAGACGAGTGAAAACTTAACGATTCGCTAATTACATATTTTTATTGATTGGTTAGTTTTCTACGGCTTATCAACCCTCTGCAGGTTATTTAAAGCCAGAATTTTTTTAGATTTTATAATTTTTTTTAGGAGTTAATAATGGTTTAGTGATACAAATCTTAACCCGCAGCATGAGGGAGATGTGGACTCATGCCTTTCCCAAGGGTATTTTCGCGTAAATGAATTTAACAAACTCACAAGGAATTGTAACTCGGCTCACCGATTAAGAATTCCGAGCCAGTATCCATTACCCAACCCACTCATCCAGGCTTACAACATCTGGTATTCCCAAGCGGTCACCCATATAGGTATTGACCAGGTTCCACGTTGCTTAAATTCGGTGATCGTACGGGAACATGTGTTTCAATATGTTGTGGGAATAGACTAATTACTTTTTCCTAATCATCAAAGAAATATTCAGTCAAGCGTTATCCTAATGGAATATTACAGCCCTCATGATTTTAATCACTGATAGCTTTCACTTTGTCTAAATGTCAAAAGTACTTGTTCGAATCAATCGCTTTGTTCCGCAGAAAGAGCTCTTAGTTCATAACTTATTTTATGTGAGGGACTACCAAATACTTGACGCTTACATTCTCCTCTGTAATGTCTAAGAGATTGTTCAACGTATCTCTTGCAGTTTACATATATATTTATATCATGATGATCATACATGATTAGAAAAACAATATATATGTGTATGTGTGCGTATGTGTGCGTATGTGTGTGTGTGCATGTGTGTGTCTCTGTGTGTTAATACAAAAATAAATAAATAAAAACAAAAATACCGTATTCTTTTAGTGCAGCCTCGTTCCCTGCTATAAAACATCCTATTCGCATATATAAAGTGGTTTTCCAAGCATAGCTTGAATGTGGCACAAGGCCGAAAGTAAAGGGCACCCAGTGAGGATCGAAATCACTAGTCAGTCGTAATTGTTCTAGGGAGCCAAGCTTGCTAAACATTACACCACTTCGAAATGCCCAATTCGCATATATATATATATATGATAGACTCACCTCTTGTTTTCGACATATGAGTGCTTAAGAGCATATTCTTTACTTGATGCCTCAATTTGGGTTTGTGCCTTCCAGTGTGGGACTCACATAAAATTCCATATATAAAGCAAGGAACAGTACCATTTTTGAGGTCAGAGAGATTTTAAAGCGGTTTTGTCTGCCTTTTAAAACATTAGATGTTCAATACTTGACCTATCAAAATTATATATATATATATATATATATATATATATATATATATATTATCTCAGCTACGGGTCGACTGGTCATGTCTTGAGAATGTTTGATGACAGGATACCCAAGATCCTAATGTACAGCCAGTTAGATCAGAGCTACAGGAATGTAGTACTCCCATGGCTAAGATACAAAGAGAAGCTGAAAAGGAACTTGTCAGCAGTCAATATACCACATAATACCCTTGAGCGCTTAGACTTGGAGCGGGTTTTAGTGGACTCGCCAATTTTCAATCTGCTTGTCTGAATCATCTTCAAGAAGCGAGAGCAAGATCTAAAAGGTCAGCCAATCTAACAGTGATCTCATCTCACAATCCTCACACTTGCTCCATATGTGGCTTCCTTTGTAAATCACTAGCGGGTCTTAAATGACACTTAAGATTATCGCAAAAAATTTCATAATTGAATCAATAAGCTGTCAGATCCTCATACGTCGAAACCGACGGGAGAGTCTATTATATATATATGTGTGTGTGTGCGTGTGTGTGCGTGTGCGTGTGTGTGTGCGTGTCGAGCGCACATATTCAGGGTGCGATGGATAAATTGTCGTCTAAATTACGCAAAAATGGAAAAAATAAGTTGAAATATTAAAAAGTAACTGTATTTCATGAAGTCGATTTCGGAATCTCCTGCAACTTTTCTGGGTAGTCTCGTTGTTTCAGTTGATAAATGCTGACATTATACTTGCCTTCAGTTCACCCTTGATGTTACAAGGAGTTTTTGTTGTTCGCTCGCTCAACTGAGCCCTACACATAATAATCAAGTGTGTTGCAGTCTGTGGAGTTAGTTGGCCGGATGTAAAGGGTGATGTGGTCGCAGAAATTGTGTGACAGCCATGACTGGGTTCTCCTTCTTGTGTGTCATGGTGCAGAATCCTGTTGTCCGACATAGGGTTTTCTAGCAACCACCCAGGGCAGAACTACCTCCTTAAAATCAACAACAAACAATGCACATGCTCGAAGTTAAAATTATAAAATTGTGACAATTATCCCGTCGCATCATGTATATATATATATATATATATATATATATATTCGTGTGTGTGTGTATGTAAGTATGTATGTATATATGTACATATGTATGTATGTGTGTGTGTATGGAGAGAGAGAGAGAAAGAGAGAGAGACAGTTTAAAAAATTAAGACATCAGCGAATTTATCAAGATAGCAGCAAGATATCTTTAACGGAGAAGCGTGTAATTGTAGAAATTAAGGTAAATATCCACTTGATGGAGTTTGCAAAACAGAAGGAGTAATTTACAAAGCCGAAGTAAAAGACACAAATGGTCAGTAAAATATAGGTGGGGTTTTTTTCTGAAGAAAAGCTCGGATAATCAGAAATCATCATTCAAGCTAGAAAGCCTTAGGAATTCTGCCATACTAGCTAGCAATGTGTGGGAATTAAAAAGTAAAAAATAACAAAGAATAACAAAGATCCGATTGTAAACTGTAACATATTTAAAAAAAAAACTAAAAAAAAAACTTTACCGCAATCGTAGTGATATCTACAAACTCTGACAGGCGGAAAAGTTGACAATAATAACATTTCAAGACCAAAAATATCTTCTGAATAAAAGGTCGGAAATCATGACACGATGCATACACACTAAAAAGTTCCTTTTGAGTTCGTACGTACCAGGATGATATTATGTACTTTTTATTTAATCCTGCCTCCAATGCAATTTTAATACACTTGCTTTTCTCCTCCCCTTCTATTACACTTCACATAGTGCGTTTATTTTTAAAAAATAAAGCCTTAGGAAATCATTTGGCCTAAATCGTCTGAAAGTACCGAAATGGTGAAACCAAGGTATAAGCGTGATTGGTTGATCTCCTAATTTTTAAAACTTAATAGCTCTGCATGTTATTTTTTTATTTTCTGCATACGTGTAATGAGCACTTTTTCATATAACTGTTTCCTGGTCTGATTCATCTCTAATAACTGTTTTTGAGCCAACATAGGAAAGTAGGCTCATAAAATTAACATGAGAGTAATATCTCATGATGATGCGAAGTAAGCTTTTTTGTATCTAGACAGCCAATATTCAATGTGGTATATTGGGAGAGACGTTATTATCAAACTATATATGTTTATTGCTTTGGGATCGACGACGTGACAGGTTAATCTCTAGGATACAGTAGTTTTTGTATGTCCAATATACGAATATGATGTTTTATAGCAAGGCTTGCCAGACTTTCTTGTCGTGTTGGTAACAATCTATGAGTAGAACAACACAAAATTAAAACTGTGGAAAAAGTAACTGTATACTGCGTTATTATCTTTCACCGAAACAGCCAAGACATAATTATAATGATATTAAAAAAAGAGTCATTAATGCATACGTTCTGAAGGTACTCGTTGTGTAAAGGGGAAAGAGATTTTTAGAGAAACGTTTTAGAACTTATGAAGAATTTGCGAAGTAACTGGAAATTCGCACATGTATTTCGTTTCTTAAAAATAGATACACATGCAGACATGCATATATTATGATTAAAGCGCAAATGGAATTAAAGCAATATGGTTAAGGTCAATGGTGCAGAAATGTCATATTGCAGAAACAACATTTGAAACATAGTTTGGGAATATATTTAAATGCGGATAGCCAGAATCCTAACTCTTACATTTTCCTTATATATATATATATATATATATATATATATATATATATATATATATATATATATATATATATATTAATCGAGTTCACCTCAAGCAAGGCAGTGAATCAACAAAGATACTGGGTTTTACAGGGTGTGGAAGAATTAGAAGCAGAAAAATTACCAAGGAGCGAGAACAAAAGAATAATCAGGAGGGCATTAGATAACCACTGACATTACATTTAACGTTTGCAGATTAAATAGCAGGAGCAGCGGATCATATGTGGGAGCAATATTCTAAGCATGGACGAATGCTAGACCTATAGATATGTAAGATAGATTCTGCAGAGAAAAACAAGACTTATACGATGGAGTGAATCAACTTTCGTATCAACACGTAAAAATTCACCCGCCTTGCTAACTCAGAATTTGCTGGACATAAACTTTATTTAATATCATTACACATCGCTCTCTCTTCTCAGTTTCATTCGCTTTCTTTCTTTCTTTCTTTCTTTCTTTCTTTCTTTCTTTCTTTCTCTCTCTCTCTCTCTCTCTCTCTCTAAATATATATATGTGTGTGTGTGTGTGTGTGTGTGTGTGTGTGTGTGTGTGTGCGTGTGTGAAAGTGGATAGAGAACAAAACACAGCGGCGACAGTTTTATGCTTAAAAGCAATCTTCAGGACATGTATGTTGGGTTCTGACTCGACTAAAGTATATATGCTGGGCAATTTTCTAATCAAAAATTATAAAGTTTGTTGTATTCTTCTAACATTTATTGAGTAGGCAGTAATGGTTATGTTTCAAATTATTCTAGAGTCTAATGAGTAGAAATAATTGTGGATCCAAATGTAGGTATTTGCAGGTGTTTTATAGTGTTGTTTGTTAACATTTTAATCATTATTATTATTGATTACTTTATCATTTGTCATTGATTATTATTGATACATTTACTTGGGTTTATGTGTGCATTTGTAGTTTATATATTTTTATTATTTACTTAATCCGTTTATTTTTTATTTATTTAGAGTTTTGTTTATTTTATATTCATATTTACATATTTTTATTTAATTTATTATTTTTATTTATATTCGTATATGTTCTGTCGATGATATTGAGCACTTTAACCCATAAATATAACTTAACTTCAATATTTTATATATATATATATATATATATATATATATATATAAGTCTCTGTGGGTGTATAAGTGTGTTTGTGTGCATAAGTATGTATGTGTGTGTGACAGCCACGTAGATTCAATTTATATTTTAAGGAATGCACATCCACTTGTTTAGAATTTCCCGAAAGTCCATATCTACTCGTAGATAAAGCAAATTCTAAAGAATAAATGAATATATATTTTTCTAATCAAAATTCCTTATTTTTATTGTTCATTTACATTTTTGATCATTTCACCCCAAACAAGGCAATAAAGCCACTAGGATACTAGGGGTTACTGTGTATTAGTAAATATGAGAAAAAAATGGAGAAAAGATAATAAATGAACAAGAATTAGAAA